ATCTCTATGTGTCTGTGTGTCTGTCTGTCTGTCTGTCTGTCTGTCTGTCTGTCTTTGTTCCTTCACTGAACAGCTTTAATCTTGTCTACAAAAGTTTCTCTTCTCAAACTTCCACCACCCCCTCCCCAACCCTTTCCGGACAGATCGCCATATTTATTAGTTTGATCTGTTAAAAGTTTTCCAGCTCTTTCCACCACATAAGACAATGTCACAAGAGCTCTGCGACCGGCGTCCGTGCTGTATCGGCTAGCCTAGTCGCCGTGACACGCCGGAGACACGAGTTCAATTCCTGAGCGTTTTGGGGGATTAAAAAATTTTTTCGTAAGTGCTTTCGGCGCTTGAAACTGCATAAGGTCATATGAGCGCGCGGGACACATTAAACTTTTTCAGTTTGTAGGAAATTTTGAATTTTACCCTGGTGGCGGCCGAAGCCTACTCTTATCAATTTTGGACAACCAAGGGATCTTTAATGGGCGCAATTTGCACACGGGACCTCCGAGATTTTTCGCCATTGTCCGAGAAGGCAAGGTGAAGATCTTTCCAACGAGAAGACCAGGGGTGTGGCTGAAAGACAGCAGTAAGAAGGAGCCAAGGAGTAGTAGTAGAAAGGCTGCAGAAAGAGTCAGGAACCCAGAGGAGGGGGGCAAAAGAGGTGAGGGGGTGGGGGCAGAAAGAGGAAACGAAAGCAGACGCTTTTCTCCCAATCACCTTAATACCTCCCCCATACTCTTCTCCCCTCCTCCACCCTCTCCTCCCCTCCTCCACCCTCTCCTTCTCCTAAGCTTCACCCTCTCCCTCTCCCCATCCCCTCCTCCTCCTCCCCTCGCATCCCCTTCTTCTTCAATACCCCCCACCCTTCTCATTTTTGAATCCAAACCCCTACCCACCTTCTTTCACTCTTCATTTCTTTCATCCACCTCCCTCCTCCCAACTCTCAACCCCCAAACAAACACACACACACACACACATACACATACACACACACACACACACACTCACACACACACACTCACACACACACACACTCAC